GTCTCAATTTCAGAAGGCCAGCCTTTAGGAGCATTCAAGTTCCAGGTACAGAGAGGAAGTCACTCTGGCTTACAATGTCCAGTCACCCTGGAAGGTGCCACAGATCCTTTACATTCATCTCAACCAATGTCAAGAACCAAGGCCTCCTGGGCTAAAAGTGGGCAATTAGGATCAATCAAGTGCTGAGCATCCTCACTTTATGAGGCACCTTTGATAAAATTGGAACCAGCAGAAGCACATATAATAAGCCTTGTGGTCCTCATGTCACAGAACTGAGCATTGGCTCACTTTTATTTTCTCTGCTGTTGCAAAAAGATTGACATGAGAAACTCCCCACCTTTCCATGACTGTCTGAAAAACCCTTAGATCCAAGGACCATTCTTCCTGCAACAGGTTCTATTGAATTAGCTAGTCTTCAGAAATATTCTGCATTCCTCTTGTATATTCTGACAGGTTAGATTCTTTACCCACAGAAATAAGCAATATACCTCTTTTGCATCCCTTTAACAGACTGATTAGCACCAACCATCACTGCAGAGAAGTGATCACTGTGTCTGGGATATCCAGAATTAAACATGATTTTAATGCAAACTGGCCTTGCCATGGTAGCAAAAACCACTGCAGTTGTCTGGTATGTAATACTGTGCAAGGCAGTCTCCTAAGCCACAAACAATATATCCTATGATTTTGCCAGGACCAAGAAGGATTGCTTCCTGGCTAATATAACCTGCCGAATTAGACTGCATTTATAGTCTGCATTCTTGCAATTTTCTATTGGGTGGCTATAATGACTTCCAAGGTGTAACAAGTCTTGAGGGAGACAAATACATTTCCTGATTTACCATGAACCTGTTTGTGTAAGCTGGTCAAATTGATGTTCCTGATTGTTCCAAGGGCGAAGTTCTTATTAACAGATTGTCCAGGTGTGCGTATATATGCATTTGCTGGGTTCTCAAGTGTCAACCAGAACTGCCGTTATCTTTGTGAAGACTCTTAGAGTAGAGGCAATGCCAAAATGGAAGGGCCGTGAATTGAAACTGCTTTCCCATAAGCAAGTCTGGGGAACCTGCAGTGCTCTGATCTGACAGGGATAGGAAGATATGCTTCAGATAGGTCTATCAATGCCAGTAAATTGTTCGAGGGCACTGCCTCTGCCATGGAGCCCAAAGTTCAAGACAGCTTTCCAAGTTTTTTCTCTGGAACCATGAATACCACCAAGAACAAGCCAGTGAACCTCTCTTGATATGGCACTTGTTTTATTGCTCAAATGTTCAGCAGATGATGAGCAGCCTCTAATTGTGAGATATTTCTCCGATTGCTGGGTGTGACAGGAGGAACCTATCTCAGAAGGGCTTTGAGCTCCAGAGCATATCATCATCTAACCAAGCTTAGCACCTATTTGTCCCTTAAGGTCCATGCCCAGGTGGTCCAAAACTCCTAAAGCTAACTGCCCCATGGTGAGGTCTGGTATCAGTTTGATGCCCTTTTCTATTGGAAACTGATCCCTTTGCCTCAACAACTGAAATCCTTGCATTGATAATCCTGCTGAGCCAAACAAACATCACTCTGGACATTTCTGGAGCAAAAAAGGTTGTTCCCTAATTTGAAAGGAAGATGCTGTTTTTTTGCAATACATAGAAGATTCTAATTAGTTGAAAGTAGGTATTCTTAGTCCTACTCCCCACCAACACATCAGTAAACTCCCTGAACTTCCTGCCCACAAATGGTTTGACTCCTAAATTAGCTCTTAACTTGACTTGCCAATGCCTAAGCCACCCTTGATGCCATCGAACAGGCTGCAAATAGAAGACTGTTTAAGGTAGCATCTGTAATCAACTCTGCTGTTTTATCAACTTCATTAAAAAGTCTCTTAAACTGCCTGTTTCCTGAAGGCATATAAAGATTTCAAGCCCAAATGATCAAAGCTGTGGAGGTAATATAGATGATCACTGAAGCTCTCTCTCTGAAGGCTGCAGCCTCATGAGCTCTTTTCAAGAGTCTCTCCTCTTACTGTACTGCAGTGGGATGCTGGATCAACCCTTCCACCAAATGCCATAGATATAAACAAAGGGAAGTAACAATCCTTCCTGTCCGTATCCCTTCCGGAGAGTTTCCTTCTCTTCTGCATTTAGATAATGCTGCATTCTCTAGTCTTGATACCTTTCCTCTTTCACTTGATCCCATGTGAATCTAGAGAAATCCAAACAGAAATCAGAATGCAAAAAAGGTCCAAGTTCTCTGAACTCTGAATTCCTTGATCTTTTCCATACTGTACTTTTGTATATGGCGACATAAAATTCATTTCTAGATATTGCTCCATCCTTTGACTCAGAACCAGGAAACCTTTTTTGAGGAGCAAACACTTGTTGCTCCAAGCCTCCTAGGCACATTTATGTTAGTTTGGTTTTCCCCTCTTCCAAAGAGGTACGCTTTTCCTTCACTGGATGTGTACAAATTGCTCCTCCTGGTGTAATTCTGAAACAAGGGTAAGAAAGAATTCCTTTGCAGGTTTTTTTTTTTACATAGACAACTAGCAAGAGAGAATGAGAGATCAGTCTAGAATCCTTTATTGAGAAAGGTAGGGAATTTAGCAAAAGACCACTGTGGTTGGTATTGTTTGGATCTCAGCCTATACCTGCTCTTCCAAGCTGCTATACTGCTGTTCACTGCAACATGAGAGGTGCACAATTCTCAGATGATTATAAGAACAGTCTTTTACTCCACTACCAGGGCCTGCACATCATTAGGCCATTATAACTGATGAAAAAAGCCTCCTCACTGTTTTCCCACTACATTCCAAACCTCTCACCCTCAGCTTCTTTGCAGGCTTATAAAATCTGCTAACATGGTCTCCTATAGAAAAATGTCTGACTGCTCAGGGCAAAATGGAAGGAAGAGCCAAGCCAGACAAGGGAAATATCATTCCCTCTGCTCAGCCCCTTCTATATCATGCTATTATGCTGTTGCTTCTCTCCGGCCTCCTCTTCTCCTTTTAAAACTAATGCAGAATCTTTCCTGTTGCCCTATGTAGAAAAAAGGAAAGAAACAATACTTCTTCTTTACCAAAAGGCACAGCTAGGACTGAACTGGGAGCCTCCACTGGTTGCCAAGTTTAGCCCTGCTTTCTGACTGGAAGAGGTAGAGTTAATTTATTCTTGTCAGCGCCATCTTCAGCAACCATGATGGAATCTCACTAGTCCTCTCACTGATGAAATGGGAAACATGGTAATTTTTCCTCCATTCTGCAAATCATCAAATGTTATTTCAAAGGATTCAGGGACCATCTGGAACAGATTGGGAAGGATAGTTTCATAGGTCTGCAGGGGTTTGACTACATTATAGCCCCCAAAAGCTAAAAGTTAATAAGAATGAAGACATTTTTTTTTAAAGTATACTTCTAATCTCTTAATACATTGTTCATCATTTCTCATGATTCATACATAAAATGTAAATGCTTTATTATAACCATTAGATGGATACAACTCAATGGCATCAAGCTAAAGCTCTAAATCTTAGCTGAGTACAGTGGTACCTCGAGTTACGAACGCCCCTCCTTACGAATTTTTCGAGATACGACCAGCTCCGGCCCCCAAAATTTACCTTGACTTGCGAACTCCGCCTCGAGTTACGAACGCCCCTCCTTACGAATTTTTCGAGATACGACCAGCTCCGGCCCCCAAAATTTACCTTGACTTGCGAACTCCGCCTCGAGTTACGAACGCCCCTCCTTACGAATTTTTCGAGATACGACCAGCTCCGGCCCCCAAAATTTACCTTGACTTGCGAACTCCGCCTCGAGTTACGAACCGGATCCGCGGCCATATTCCCTGCTGCCATGCGGTCGCGGCTTCCTGTGGGCAAGATCGCGGTATCAAGGAGACATTCGGTAAGGCTTGTGGTGTGTTTTGTGGCGTTTGGAAGGTGTTTGGTGTGCTTGTCAGCATGGCTCC